CTAGAAATAGTTAATCAGATTCTTCATGTACGGTTGTAACTTTGTTTCATAAGTTAATAAAAATTGTTGCATGTAATATGCTTTGCCTCTAAAAAAAAAAAAAAAAAAAAAAAAAATGATATAAAGAATTTATTTATTATTATTATTTTTTTAATATTGATAAATATTAGTTTTTTATTATACATACTGTATATTAGGATATACTGTAACTATAAAAAAAAATCCATATCTTTTATATCAATTTTTAACTATTTTTTAATTTAATATATACTGATATATATATAACTATATTATCAATATACAGTATATTGATTAATTTTAATTGATTGTTAACAATTATATATATTAAATAAATTAAATTAAATCAAGTTATATTAAATTTGATTTGGATTTAAATTATATATATATAAATTAAATCAAATTAAATTAATTAAAATTTAATTTAACTTGATTTATTATAATTCTTAATTGAAAAAATAATTTTTATAAAAGCAATTTTTATATAATTAAATAAAAAAATAAAAATAAAAAATTTTTTAAATCTATAAATCAATAGTACAGTAAATAATACAAGTTTCCAAATATACGTTCTTATATAGAAAACAAAATATATAATATTTTATTTATTTTTATTTTTTTATTTTTTTTGAAGGAGCAAATGGCTATCATGCTTTATTAGTGCTGGTTACAGGAAGTTTCTGAATTCATTCATAAATTACTTGAAGAACATAACGATTCGGATGTAAATGTGTTCAATCTTTCTTCCGGTATTCTCCCATCACAACCATTTACCCTGCAAAAAGATAAACACAAGAAAGGTATCATATCCTCTTGTACAAAAAGTGAACCAGATAGCTCTCTCATTCAAACTGATAGATAAATAAATGAATTTTTTGATATTTGCGAAAAAAAGTAATATCATCATTGTCAGCTTGAAGAATATGGAATTAAATTAAGTTTCGTCATCCAAACGGTTAAAAGGTTATGCTTTGTAATATTTTTTGGGAACCTTTGATCAAGCATTTTAAAAAAATTCTCCAACATATTGGTATAACTTTATTCATACACACTACCATGATCGTCGAAATGACGACACAATGACTTTAAATTGACGACACTATTACAAGTAACTTCACTCGTGTCTATAAAATGAGGACATGCATGAAGAATGACTATCGCACTTAGTGACAGTATTCTTGTGCGAAAAACATGGTTCTCACGTTTTCATGTTTATTTACTAAGCTCATGCTATTTCAGAATGAACGTAATTTGCATAAAGCATATATAAATCAACATTATTTTAAGAAATCCGGATTTCATACAAAGTGCGCTCTTCTCCGTTGATAAGCTTCGCGTATTTCCTCGTCAAGTCTACGTGTTTCATCCAATAAAGCTTGTCTTTCCTCGTCAAGCCCTCCGCAGTGATGATTTCGTCTGATGTGAACCAATAGGATGACTGCTAAAAGCAGGCAGAGGAGCTTTGGAAAATAAAAATGTTAAGATTGACCATGAAAAAATAATAAGATATCAAAATGATAAATTATTTACCTCCATGATTCCCAATATGACACCGACAACTCCAATTGCCAGTAAACTATACCACAAAGAATCCTCCAACATTTCGTGACATGGATTATAATACCTGCACGGTTGAACAACTCGGTCATCAATTGAATTGAATCCACAGCATTGAAAATAATTTTCTACATCTCGTAATAATTGTGGTTCTTCTCGAAATGCTTTCGACCATGATTGATCAAGAATGTGATCAGCCTTTGCATTTGGTGAAAGAAGAATTTTTAATGGTCATATTTTTGGAGACGCGGAGGAAAGCGGATAAAATACTTACATCTTGACGATAAGCGAATGCCAAGCTACCGACAACTGGAATTTTGGAGAACGTTAAATATACGCAAAATGGAAGTTGATAAGAATTCAACATCAACCGTACCTATCTGAGATGTCATTAACAAGAACAATAATGTCAAATAGGCCCTCAGGAAACCTATCTTCTCTTCGGCGGCGCCATAACAACCTATCCGTCCGTCGTATATCAGTAAGGCGGTATGGATTTTACCATCATAAAAAAAAAAAAAACTATTTACCAAGGAAGCTAACCAAAGATATGAAACCACCAATCGTGATGAGAGCATACGCAAAGTTATAACTAAGAGTGGATGAAGTTATGTGAGTCACTTTCGATTCAGCACCATATAGGTAATATCCTACGTTATTCCGACGTGGCGCAGTATGTGTATGAGTACAAGAAAAAACAGGATTAAATGTGCTACCAGTTCACGAAACTTACCAGTGGCGATAAGAATAACCCCAGCAAGCTAAATGTCAAGCAATTATCGTATTATGTGAGGAAGGATAAGAAAATCAATTTTTTTTTTCCGTCCAGTTCTATTTGAGTGCGGCAGAAGTTCGAAGAGATCAAGTGATAAATTACCAATGACAAGAAATTTAGTACCATAACCACATGCTTTATGGTTGCAACTGTTAGAGAAAGATAGCCTTTTCCCATTTTTGTGAGTTCTTTAAATAAAAAAAGCGTTGGCGAAAAGAACGTGAGAAATCGAATCGACTATATCTTAATTTTGATTACGTAAACATGGTACAAAGAGCATCACGAGACTAAACCGATTTCAATAATCTTCACGAATGGCACTTTCGTTGTAATAACAAAAAGGAAGTCCGACAAATCAATGTATTGGAAAGGAAAAAAAACAGCAGCAGATTATATGGTGTAAATTGACCACATTAAGCCGGACAAGATCATAGCAAATGATGCGGAATTTATTGGGCAGATTTTGGGTTTATTTAAATGATGATATTGTATCATATACTACTTTATGTCATTTCGGGTACCAATAAGAACTGGCGTTCACGCTTCCCGTACGTACCACATCACCTCCAGGATTCTTCAATGTCGTGGCATCGACGAACTCAAATTCCAATTTATCATCATGCCCCACAGTCACATGCAAGAAGCCAAAAGTTCCCTTGGGCATGCCCCAATCACAACCCTCACATCCCGTGCCCGTTTTCGATCCCGCTCCGGAGATGAAATGCGCCACCGGTGATAATTTACTGGGTGCTTTGTACTGTAAAACATGATTATGTCCTGCGAAATAAGCGGTCACCCCATATCTCTCGAACAGTTGAAGTAGCCGTGGCATCTTGTGTATTTGGGCACATTGACCTGCTAATGGGTGATGTCCTATTAGACAATATGAACTGTTAGAGATGATGTGACGTGTGAATAAGATGTGTATTGGTTGATCATTAGCATACCAACAACAAAAAGCCACTTGTAGTTGGTAAAATCAATCAATTTCTGTTCAATCCATTTCAATTTCGATTCGATAGCATCATCGCCTTCCCATCCGAAATTATAAATGTTTGCACGCAGTCCTTCTCTTTTGGTCGCAATCTCATCCATATCATAATAAAATATATTGGTGTCAATGTGTATCCATCCAATTTTTGTTCTTACGACCGTGGAATCTTTCGTGTACTCAAAGGTTGTGACACGCGAATAGAATAACGATGGCATAAACCACCGCGAATCCTTGGTGAGGCTATAGTCCACTTGAGCTGTCACGTTCGTGTACCTGATGAAGGTGAACGTTCATTAATGAGGATGGATAAGACGAGGGTCTCATTCAATGATGATGCGTGTTGACATACGAACCAATCATGGTTTCCGGCAATAGAGTACCAAGTGAGTTTTGATAATTTTGGTCCGTTGTACACATTTATCCAAACTTCTTTCCATTTATCATCATCCACACTATTCACCCCTTGATAATCATGACCAAACCTTTTGTAAAAATTATCTTCACGAAGAGAATTAGATTTATGCATGAGTATGAAAATAAAGATATGTGTATGAACGCCTCACACTCCTATTTGGTACGAACCGCCAACATTTATAATGAATTTACTATCATACTTCGTCGCCACATGTTCCATCGCTTTAGATACGTTTGCCTGTGATCCGTGTTTATGATGTTTACCACCAATTGATCCCCAATCTCCGATAACTAAAAAATCCAACACTTTACTCTCTGTGTACTTCTCGTCTTCAAATATTTTACTTAATGGTTCAACTATTGACCTGTGTGGTGTCTGTGAAGCATCACCGAATGTGCCATAGCATATGAGTGAGATGAGGGTTATCGTGCGGAAATAACAAGGAAGTAGGTAGAATCCGAAAAGCATAAGTTATAAATTATTGGTTTTACTGATGGTATGAGCGTGAAGAAACAGAAAGCACAAGTCGAAGATTTTTACTAAGTTCTGCATCAAAGTGTGTTATACTGATTTGGATGATATATTATTGATTTTTTTTGGCTAAAATATTCTGATTATTAATAAAAAAATTCCGGAATTTTAAAATTAAGTATAAAGCCATAAGTATTTTTTATACTATTATATTACATTACATAAAAACGTATACTCTCTTAAAAAATTAGTTACAAAAGTCTTGGATTAATATTTTTTAACATAATTTAATAATATTTATTTAATTTATATAAAGAAAAAAAGTATAAAAAAAAAATTTGACTAGGTTTTCTATATAAATTTATATATTAATAATTAAAAAAATAAAAAAAATAAAAATAATGATAATAATAATAATAATTTTTTTAAATTTTTAATATTTAATTTATAATAGTTAATTATTTAAGAATTTTTGTCAAATTTTTTTACCCGTTTTTTTATTTTTTTAAATTAATATTTTATAATAAACTATTAATTAATTGTTAATAAAATTTAAATAATTTTATTATTAAATTGTATCAAAAAATTTTTATTAATTCAATTCTTAAATTATTTAAAATAAGATTTATTATTATTATCAATAATTAAATTATTTGTTTAAAAATTTATACTCTTTAATAAATAAGAATTTATTTTGAAATTTTATTATTAAATTAAAAAATATATATTCAATTAAAAAAATTTTTTAACAAATATTAAAAAAATTTTTTTAAAGAAGTAAATGACTATTATACTTTATTAAATTATTGTTTTTTACTTGCAAAACAAAATACAATATCTATAATATAACATATATCTCTCTTTGCTAAAAAAAGTTTAATGCAAGATTTTTATAAAAAGGCTATACTCTTATACTCTTTTGGCATTATTTAAGAAATACAGAAATTTTAAAATATATATTATTACTTTAAATGACATCTAACTATTTAAAGAAAAATAAATACCTAATTACATAAAAGTATTGCAGTCAATTTATATAGATTAATATTTAAGTAATAATTAGAATTAACACATCTATTTTTCAAATATAGCTTAATGTATAGCAAATAAAATAATATTAGAAATAGTAGATATTAAATACTTTTTTGTATAAAGATACTATAATTACTTTATACAGATTTGCCTTCAAGTTACAAAAAGAATTTGGCATATTAAAAAAACTTTTTCCCACTTCCCTTTCTACATTTGAAAATTTCCTTTTTAGGAAATTTTTGAGGTGTTTATTTTTTTTTTCATTTTCCCTTTTCCCTTCTTTCTATATCCCTTCTCCATATCTCCTTATTTCTCCTCTCTTCTATATACTCTTTTCTTTTACTTTTATCCCTCCCCTCCCTTTTTCCCTTTTTTTTCTGCTGAAGTTAGGTTTTTTCCTTTTCTCTGAAAGTTTTCCTCCCTAGGCCTCTCTCTCTTTTGAAAACTCCACCTCCATAACATCACTCCTCTGGCCAGTGAACCCTTTTCTCTCTGGAACCATATAAGAAGTGGCAAGGTTTCCACAGGACATGGGCTATGAAAAGTTTTTCCTCCATGGCTTCTCAGAAAAAGGACGGATGGTTTACCTCCCTCCAAAAGATTAATATGACCATCATTACCTAATCTGATGTTGTTTATTCATTGATAGTTAGACTAGATACATCTAAAAAACTGGGGTACAACTATTATTATCCGAAAGTATCCAAGAAGTTGCATCTTACAGTATTCAGAAAGATATGGCAGCTAATGCCAATACAATTAACAGTAAGCTAGGTTAGTCTGCAGGTGTCATATTGGTGATTAGAGAACTTAGTAGGATAATACGTGAAGACCAGGAATTCTAGTTATCTCCGCAACACGAGCTGGTGATGACAACGGAAGTTCCTCGCCTACTTCTCCGACAATGTAGATCTCATTGTACAAGGTCAGGTATCAACATCTTTAAAAAATCCAAAACCAAACTCCATCCATGGAACACTTTGCCACACTTGAGAAATGGGTATGCCAAATCCTTTTCATAACTTGGAGGCAAACCTGTATAAAGTAGCTGCAGCGCCTTTATATGAAAAGGTAATCACAAACAAAAAATTTCTCGATACTACTCTGCCTGCCAAACACCAAGCCACATTTGAGAAGCAAGCGTGCCAGTCTTACTCATAACTTGAAGGCAAACTTGTATAAAGTAGCTGCAGCGCCTTCATGTGATTAGGTATTCAAATTAATTTCTAGGTAGCTAGACATCATTTAAGTCCATAATATAGGTTTTAAATATTCTTTTTTACTGTATTTCTTGAATGGTGCCAAGGAGTTTAGGGGTAGCCTTTATAGGTCCTGCATTTAACTCTTCCTAGCAAAGAGAGATGTATGTTATGCTTCTTATGTTGTAAATCTTGTAACCCGCAAGTCTAAAATTATAATAATAAATGATAGCACAATAGCCATTTGCTCTTTCAAAAAAAAAAATAAAATAAATTTTTTAATACTAAAAACTTTAATTTTTACAATAATTAATATATAATTAATTTTAATTATTTTTTTTAATTTGCTAAAATTTTTTTATAAAATCTGCTTATTGTTTCTTATTATAATTATTATCAGTTCTAGATATTATTGGATAATATTATAAATTACTAAAAGTATATTGGCTATAACTAGACTTAATATAGATAAAATTATCTTGATTGTATTAATAATTATATTATTTTAATAAATTTAAATAAAAAAGAAGTGAAAGTAATTAATATTGAAAAACTAAAACAGAAAAAATTAATTAAAAATTAATTAAAAATTGTGAAAAGATTTTTTTTGAAATTAAAAAGTATTGAAATTTTTTCAATTAAATTATTGGAATAAAATTTGATTATAAAAAACATTAGATAATATAACATAAGTAATTGTGATATAATCTATAACAAAATTATTTCTATGAAATATTATAAAATCAAACTTGAACAAAACATATAATAGCAATAAATAGTATATATACAAGTATAAAATAATATTATTGCTTAAATTATAAGATATTTTTTTTATAAGATTTAAAAATTTTTAATTAAAAAGTTGTTTTTTATTTATTTTTTTAAATATTTATATAATATTAGTTTTTATTATATATTATCTATTAATATTATTTATTGTTTATTTATTTAATAAAAATTTAAAGTTTAATTATAAGTAAAATTTTAAATTTTTTAATAAAAGTTGATTTTAGACAAACTTAAAAAATTTTTAAGTCAAAGTTTATATAATTTGTAATTAGCTTTGTAGAATTAATTATTTGTAAAGAATAATTTTAATTATTACAATTTTAATGATTTAATTATAAAAATTTTAACTTGTATTAGAAAAAAAATATATTTTTTTACTTTAAACATATATGAAATTTTATATAATTTTTTATATTAACTTTAAATACAAAGTTTAAATTTATTTATTTTTAAAAAATATTATAAACTATATTTTTTATAATATAACCTGTAGGTCAATAGTGCAGTGATTAGTACTTCACAGATCAGATCATAAGATACCAGTTTAATTTTATATAAAAGCAGTTGAATCAGATTTAAAATATTATTTGATTCCATAACCTGTTAAGCACTGTTTCTCATAAGAAGTCAATTCTTATACTGATCCAGTAGGCATTGAGATTGTAACCTATTCATAAAAGGAGTTGTGGCATGACAATTATCTGGTTGGTGCTATAATAATTGTCAAAAAATAGTCAAAAAAAGTAAAGAAGAGGTCTGGTTTTAAGTAACAATGGTTTGGTGATCCTTTTTCATAATACCTAGAGTGTTTTTTCTTATAGAAGTAATTATGAAGATCCTTTTCAGGACCGCTTTAATAGTTGTCTCTTCAAGTTGGGCTGCAGCAGTAAAACTGATGCTATGGGCAGTTAGTCAGTATAAGTACCTAACTGTCTGGATGACTTAGAAGTTGGTATAGCATAGGATGTAGAAGATTTTTTCAAATAGGGTTTTATTTGCTCAAAATAAGTATCACCCTAGTATGCTACATTTCAACTTCCTCTTAGTCCTATACAAAACCCAAAATAGAATATATTAGCATAATTTGCAACACTAATGGAACTCTTGGCACATTAGCTTTGACACCTACCCCTTATGGAGCTACGCCAACAGCAACAAGCTAATATGGAGTAAAATCAATATAGTTATATGATGTTGTAATTAGAATATAGATAGTAATTCCTGTAATACATAAATATATATATGTGATTCTAAATAATAAAGCATATTATAGCAAGACCCAGCTGGTTAACCAAAATAAAATTAAAATAAATAAAAAATATTTTTTATAATATAAGTAAGTTATAAAAATTATTATTTAAAATTTTATCAAATTTTTTTAAAAACCTATTAAAATATAATTATATAAACAAATTTGCTTGTATTACAATTTATGAAATAAAAATCTATTATATTGTTAAAAAAAAATTGGATTATATAATTTATTTTCATATATTAGATAAATAAATTTTATAATGTGATAATAAAGCTAATAATTTATTATATAATAGTTTTATTGCAATCTATTATTTAAATTTATTTTATTTTATTTTTGATTTTTTTATTATAACATATATTATATATGAGACTTTTTTATTAAGCAAGAGTTTATAGCCATTATATCAAGTATTTTTCACTTATAATAACTTAATACTACCTAATTAAGTATTTCTAATTATTAATTTTTTATATAATAACTTTAATATATTCAGTATATGCAACTTTATATATCAAGTGAATAGTTTATATATTGAATGAAACTTACACAGAGAAGTGAAAATTATATTACTGATTAAACTATTTAATCTACTAAATTCTGTTTCAACTATATTTATTATAGATAGTGTTAACCTATTTAATAAACCTTAAAATTAAATAGATCAACGGACAACAGTAGCAAGGAACCACTTAATTTAGAGGAAAATAGCCTCAGTTATG